TTAGGTCTAAACTAGGTCATGTATGAATTTGTATGTTTTCCATTGAATACTCAATGACATCAAAACAATTCTCAATGAGTTTCTACATTTTTTAACAAAAAACATTGGCCTTGTTTGAGAAGAATGTTTTCAATTAGTGTTAGTATTTAAGATAAAATATTAACGATGTAGATTAATTTGGAAAAATCTAAGACTAAAGGCTAATGTCAGATAACATTTTTAAAATGTTAACGCCAACTTCTGACTCCAATACCAACCGAGGCCATTGATTACACAAATTTGACTCTACTTTTGACATCAATACTTTTAAAAATATTATTGATATGAATCTCTCTCGGCTGAAATGTCTGTAAAAGACAATAATGTGAAAAATAAGGTCAAATTTGAAGTTACGTAGACTCTTTTTTATGAATCGCAATTTCTCTGTTTCAAGATAATTTTATTTACAAATTGCTAGATAAATAAAAAAATATAAATTGAACGGTTTAAAAGTAATTCAAAAATTTCAAAAAACAAGATTTGATAAAAATATTTTATTTTGTCAAATTATCATCGGAATAAATACATAAAAATTATGAAAAAACAGAAAGAGTCCGTTTGGCATACAGAATTGATGGAATTGAAATTGAATTGAAATTGAAATTCCATGGGATTCAATTCCATAGAATTGAATTCATCAATTTCAATTCATTTTTTGCACTATCAATTTCAAATCCACATAATTTTTGTGCTACCAAACACTAGAATTGAAATTAAAGTCTTCAATTCCAATTCCATAGTTTGAATTCCATATACCAAACCGGGGCCAAATAGTATGTGTGTGATTCTTGTTTAGAAACGTTTTTTGATTGAGCTTCGCGTCCGTCCAGAATAATGGAAGAGAATATTTTTGCTCGCCTCTGGAGGAAGTAAAAGGGGCGCGGAAAGAAGAAAAGCGTTCATTCATAATAACGCAATAATCCTCACCATCGCCATTCCCCGGCCGCTCCGAGGATAAGGCTATAATCGTGTGCTAGGGTTCAGGTGAAAAAACACGGCGGTGGCTTCCAGCTCCGGCAAGGAAGCAAGAGCTCGAAGATGTCTTTCTGGGGTTAGTTTTACATTCCCATTTCATGTTCTGGTTCTCCCAATCAGCGATTATATTTACTTCTTGTTCATTTTGTGGAATTCTACTAGGCGTTGAAGTAAAGCCTGGAAAACCATTCACTCACTACTTTGATCGAACAGTTGGAAGGCTTCGAGTGTCTCAGGTGAAATTTCTATGTTTTTTTCGTTCGAGTGCGCAATTCTTTGATTTTGTTTGGTGTGGTTGTTTGATTTTGTTTTTGTTGTTGTTGTTGTTGTGAGAGTGTTTAGGCAACATTGGGCATTGGAAGTAGAACCGCAAGGAGTTTGGTTCAGTGCAATGTGGGGAGCAAATCTCCAGTGTTTCTGTGTGCTTTGTTGCCCAATAAGATAGAATCTTGCCACTTGGATTTGGAATTTGAGGAGGCAGATGATGTCGTGTTCTCGGTTCTTGGACCGAGGAGTGTTCACCTGAGTGGTTACTACGTTTCGAAGAGTTCATCTGCAAATCGGAATAGCGACACTGAGTCGTATGGGGAGGATATCGCCAACACAGACACTGAGGCATCTGATCTGGGGAGTGAGAATGATGACTATGGAGGTAGCTTTATAGACGATGATGATGATGATGATGATGATGATGGGAAGGAGGTGGAGGTGGAGGACGAGGAGGGTGAACCCAATGTTTTCCTGTCTTCACCTATTTCTAGAAATGGAAATGCAGGTAAATATAGCCCATCTGATGAGGATTACTTTTCATGAAGGCTGGTGCATCTACAGAGAATAAGATCTCTATTCACAGTATTGCTTTGTGGTAGAAGGGTGTGGATTTTGTAGCTGTTACTTAGGGTTTGTTTTACTGGTTTTCTCAAATTTCATTTATGTATGATATTTGCAAAATTCTCTCTTGGAAACAGCCTTTCTACTTTCAAGCAGGTGTGAGGTCTGCATACACACACCCTCCCCAAACCATATTTTTGTGGGATTCTACTAGGCAGCTGTTGTTATTGCAAAATTCTAGTGTATAAATCCCTAATTCTCATTCATTTTCTCTTTCTTAATGGGTAAATATTCAGGAAACAAGAAAGGCAACCACAAAGGGCTCAAGAAGAAGAACCGCCAAGCAGTTGAGCCTGCAGATAATATAAATTCAGAAGAAAGGGGTGATGAGATGAACTCTACAATGGCTGTATTGAGACATAAAAAATCTGCAAACAAATGCAATGTGATTGAATCTGAAGATGACAACAATGAACAAGAAAGTAAAGGAGACAAATCTTATCTCCTGACTGCATTTGGAAATGAAATTCCTGAATGTGGGGAAACTGCCGATAAGGTAACAGGTGATGTCGCTGCTCCCTCCCAAAGTGGTGGTAGGGATGAAGATCATAGAGGCGAAGATGATGTTCCTGTGGAAGTGACAAATATGAGCAACTCTTGCAAGGATTGTCCTGAACCGTGAGTATTACTTATTTCTTGCATTTATGTCTTTGCATGAGTTTAGTGCTGTATTTCTTTTGCTTTCTATTTAGATCTACTTGCCCAACACAGCCATTGTTTAACTTTACTGTGTTTATATGTTGCCTTATAGCGATGCAAGGTCAACAAAGACTTCTGATGATGCAAAAGATCAAGCGGTTGGTATGAGCATTCTGGAGAATGTGTATGCTGATGATAACACAGAGCAATTCACTGATCATGACATTTCCCAAGCTCTTAAAGGAACAAAAGATGCTCAAAGTGCTGTAAGCGATATGTAAGCTTCAGTTTTTTAAAAATCTTATTTTCCTTTAATCCTTTTTTTCCTTCCTCTGCATGCTCGTGATTTTTGNTGTTTATATGTTGCCTTATAGCGATGCAAGGTCAACAAAGACTTCTGATGATGCAAAAGATCAAGCGGTTGGTATGAGCATTCTGGAGAATGTGTATGCTGATGATAACACAGAGCAATTCACTGATCATGACATTTCCCAAGCTCTTAAAGGAACAAAAGATGCTCAAAGTGCTGTAAGCGATATGTAAGCTTCAGTTTTTTAAAAATCTTATTTTCCTTTAATCCTTTTTTTCCTTCCTCTGCATGCTCGTGATTTTTGGATATATGCATTAAGGTGTTCATACTGTGTTGTTTTTTGACAGGAATATTGGTAATCTTTCTGTTTCTCTTGACCACCTTGCTGATGTACAAGTTGAAAATCGTCAAAAATTGAAGAGGAAAAAAGATTTGGAGGGGGACCGGCTAGGGGAATGCAATGGCTCTGGACCTGGTGATGCTGGTGAAGAGCTCAAGCAAGTTGTGGAAAATGATGATCATTATACCTCTTTAGATCTCTCTGCTTGTGAACAAGCTGAAAATGGTCCAAAACTGAAGAAACAAAAAAAAGGGTCCAGAGAAGGGGAATGGGATGATTGTCAAGCTTCTAGTCATGTTGATGGTGTTGTGGAGCTCAAGCAAGATGTTAAAACAACAGATAGGGGAAATGAATCATTGCCAACAACTGAAGCAACTCAAGTGCTAACTACCATCCAGTAGGGTTTTTGTATGTTTAGTTTTTTCTTTCTCCCTAAATAATGCATGCATGTCTAAGATGTTAATCTGCATTAAATTGACTATATATATACTTCTCTACTTTCTTAGGAGTTGCTCTAGCATGATCTTTGAATTATCTTGCAATTACTATCCCTCGTTGTTTTGGGATGCAGAAGTATAGGCATTAATTCTGATGAAGGAAGCCAACCTGATAAGAAAAATAAAAAGAAAAAAAAGAAGAGCAAAGTTGAGGATGATGGAACTGGCAGTATGCTTGAAAAAGATGGTGATTATTCCATTCCTGATGTCACTGTTGGAGAGGCCAAGCAAATGGTTGAAGCAACTGCTATGGACAAGGATTTGCCAGCAACAACTGATAAGAACAAAGATCCAACCACACAGTCAGTTTCTATAAACTTGGTGTCTTGTTTCTATACTTTTTCATTAAAATCCCTAACGCATGCATTGTTAACCGCAATGACTTGATCGCATAGATTTCACTGTTTTTGGTTGTAGGAGTCATTGTGTTGATCTGTGTTTCTTAGAATACATTATCCTAGAATCATAGTTATTAAAGGCGCTCACCTCTCTTTTCCCATGGTGCCCAGGCGTCTAGGCAAGCTCTCAGGGCCTCAAGGGAACCAGGCGAGGCAAGATCCCTAAGGCGCGTCTAAGGCGGTCACTTTTCTCGCCTCAATTGCTGCCTCAGGCGATGGCCTAGCTTGCCTTTCATTACTATATGCATATTTTGTGTTCCTCTGACAATTATCTAGTGTTTAAGGTTTTAGGATATACATTGCATAATATTTATTGTTATATATTACTCCGTAATATATATGCACACTCACACACATATGCATGTATGTATTTATGTATGTACGTTCGCCATTTGACCGCCCGCCTCTCACCTCAAAAAAGGTCCTCTCGTCTACCCCTCACCTCTAGCCTTTAATAGCTCTGCCTAGAATAGAATATTCTTAACAAATAAAATCAAAGATCTCAGTGGAAATTACTCTTTGGGTGCAGAAGTATTGATGTTATATCTAATGTAGCTAATGGAAGCCAACCTGAGAAAAAACGGGATAAGAAGAAGAACAAGAAGACGAAGGTTGCAAAGGATGGAGCCAGTAGTGTGATTGACCAGGATAAATGTGTTGATCAATGCAAAAATATCAGTAATGACGATGTTGTTGAACAGATCAAGCAAATTATTGAAGCAGTCGAAATGGACACGTCTTTACTGCCAACAACTAAACAACATGAAAGTC